CATTCATGGGTTGGAATACTCAATATTATATATAGATATGCTCTCCCAAATTGATCTATGGAGTCAAAGTAATCCTAATAAAAATCACAGCAGGTTTACCATGAAAATGTACTAGGTGGTTCTAAAATTTATATAGGAACAACAAGAGTCATAAATAGCAAGAATTTGCTAAAGAAGAACAGTAACTTCAAGTTCTAATATTTAATACATTGTAGTTCTGCCAAAAAGATAGACAAATACACCAGTGAAGCAGAAAAAAGAGCCTAGAAATGGACCCTCACATATACGGACACATTATGCATGACAGAGATTGTGCTTGAGAGCAATAGAAAAACGATGGGCTTCTTAATTAAGGATGCTTGGACAACCGGATATCCATATGAAAAGCTGCCTATCCCTCACATTATACACAATAATAAATTCCCAAGCAGATTATAATCTTAATGTGAAAGATAAAAAAATAAAGCTTCAAGTACTTAATATGGCAAAATGTCTCCATGACCTCAAGTAGGAAATTCCTTACCTAACACAACAGGCAAATTATAACAGAAAAGACCAATAAATTTAACTCTACTAAAAACAGAAACTTCACTGGTCAAGGACGTCATTAAGATAATGAAATAGCCCAATTAGATGAAGAAAATACTTGCTGAAGATAAAGATAGATAAGACAAAGAATTTTTATCTAGACTATATAAACAACAAACTCTTAAGAAAATCAACTAAGTAGAAAAGATGCAAAAAGTTTAAACAAGTACTTTATACATACACAAAAAAATCCAAATGGCAAACAAAAAACATAGTATGTTCAACCTCATTAGTCATTAGGAAAATGCAAATTAAAACCACAAAGAAAAAGCAATACATACTCTCAAGATTAGCTAAACTAAGAATTGTGATACCAAGTATTGGCAAGAATACAGTGCAAAAGCAACATGTATACAACACCTGTAGGAAGAGTAACAACTACAGCTACTCAGGAAAACAGTTTGTTATATGCTTATACATACATAAGATGTGTCCTATGACTCATCAATCCCACTCCTACACACATACCATAGCTACATATGCATACATACACCTGGGTACATATACAAGATAGCAGCACTGTTTGTGAATAGGCCAAAACTGAGAAGAACCCAAAAGTCCAACAACCACAAAACTGGGGTATATTCATTTAATAAAATACTATACACAAAACTAACCAACGACAGCCAAATACAACAATACAGATGAGCCATAACCTTGAGTCAGAGAACAGAACAAACATTACAAATTGCAGAAATAAATATACTGAAGTTAAAAAAACCAACTTATAAATACTTGGGCATCGGGGCACCTGGGTGGCTCAGTGGGTTAAAGCCCCTGCCTTTGGCTCGGGTCATGATCCCAGGGTCCTGGGATGGAGCCACTCAGGCTCTCTGCTCAGCGGGGAGCCTGCTTCCTCCTCTCCCTCTGCCTGCCTCTCTGCCTACTTGTGATCTCTGTCTGTCAAATAAATAAATAAAATCTTTAAACAAAAAAAAAAAAAAAAGAAAGAAAGAAAAGAAAAGAAAAAGAGTCAACAGGGGAAAATAACTCAAAAATTAAATGTAGGGTTCTAATAGCCCAAAAGGACTAGCAAGATGTGATACTGAAGTAAATAATAAGTATGTTAAATATGAAAAGCAGATTTAACTTCTTAGATTGATATATATCAATATCTAAACCAATACCCATCATAACCCTAATAAAAACTAAGTCTAAGATCACAAAGTTAATTTCCAATGTCTGAATGCTAATCTTAGAAAAATAAATTCAAAAGTAGTAGTTTGCCTCTTGGTCAGCCTGTATTTTGCTTGAATAAGTTCAAGTAAAAATTATACAACAGGAGATAAGAGCTCTAACAACTATATTTATTTTGAGGATTAAGCATGCAAATACTTAATAATATATACAAGAAAATATAGTCACTTTATTGTCTGTATTAAATTATGAGGTATTAATCAACTAATTTCCTAAAGTTTATTTTTTTATTTATTTGAGAGAGAGAGAAAAAAATCCACACAAGTGAAAGGAAGGGGTTGAGGAGGAACAGAGGAAGAGGGAAAGAGAATTTCAAGCAGGCTCCATACCCATGGAAGAGCCTGTCCCACCTGGATCTCATAACTCTGAGATCAGGACCTGAGCTAAAATCCAGAGTCAGACGCTTAACTGAGTCACCCAAGCACCCCTAGACTAAAGTTTATTATGATTACATAGCACTACTGTACCTAACTCCAATTATGAAGAAGTTCATAAAATTCAAAATAATTTTTAAATTTTTTTAAAAATTATAAATGTTTAAAGTCTGCTAACCTAGCACTAAACTTTTAAATTTGTATACTTTTGTTAACCTAGCTCCTCAGTCCCTTGTATAATTAAATACAAAACACTCAAAATCACTCAATCATGGATACATTAAAAAAAAAGAAAACCAAAATGTATTAATGACAATATAATCAGTGCACAGAAAAGGCACCAATATCCAGAAGTACTTAGAACTAGTGCACTTCTTGGTTAAATTGCCTACCATTAGAAAATATGGTTCAAGGGGGGGAAAAGAAATCATTTAATCACAAGGAAAAAAGTAAAGTTAAGCTGTAAAATTCTATAACACAATTAACCCAGATATTTAATGAATATAGAAACACTGATACTAAGAGCTATGTGATCAAACACAGTATCTCAGAAGGTATTACTCAAGGCCATCAGCCACCACATCAGAGAAAGAACAAATTCCTATCACCAGGAAGAGTTATTTACTAGGAAACAATTCTCTATTGATCTCTCCCATTTCAGAACATGCTGTCATAGCTTTTGTTCCAAATTACTTTTCAAGGATGTTTCTAAAGCAAACACCCTGGCAAGACAAAAATGGTGACTTTTTCCAGGACAAAGGACAGATTTGTTTTCTGATCAATATGATAAAAATGGTATCTCCCTGAAGGGCAAAGACTAAACAGGTTTTCCTGCAGACCCTTTTAAAAGACTGCGAATTTCTAAGCTCAGGGTTCCTTTGTTATTACATAAATCCACTATATGTGCAGCATTCACCTGAGCCCATCTCTACATCGCCCCTTTGGGACTTGAGGATAAGAGAAAAATATGCAAACATGCAGCAGCTGTACCAGATGTGCCATAATAAAGTCCTCTATTTCCAGCCCAGAAGTCTCATGGAACAGACAGCACAAGTGCAACTGTGACAGGCTAACTCATCAGCTTGCTAGTAAGGTATTAATCTCAGAATCTTCAGGGTTTGTTTTTTTTTTAGAGCTACATGCTGTATCCTTATTACCTGAGACATTTTCAAATCTAACAATTTTTTTGCAAGCATTAATAGATCCCTACAAAAGCAGTGAAAAACCTCAGGGGCTAATGAAAACCTTAAATAATACAGGACACAGATAATGACCAGCCATTTAATTTAACCCCCAAACATCCTCATATTTCAACTATACACTTAATTGAGTCATTTACTCATTCATTATCAGGTAATTTCCCATGTACTTAATCCCACTTTCAATGAGTTCAAAGTCTAAGGCAGAAAGAAGCATATGGAACTACTACAAAACAATTTCATTCTGTTTTAAAGTTGGGAAGTATGTATGAAATATGAAAAACCATCACTTCTCCAAAGAATTTTCTACAACAAAAAGATGTTGAGTATACATATTAAATTAGTGATTTTATTTGTACATCCAATATTTTCAGCTTTGCTATTCAAAATGTAGTCCAAGGACCAAGAATATCAACACCTGAAGCTTGCTAGAAATGCAGATTATGGGGCCTAACAGGATCTTCAGGTGATTCTCATGCATACTGAAGTTGAAAAAGTACCCAAAAAAAGAAAAAAAAAAAATTGAGAGGAATAAATTTTACACCTGATCTTGGCCAAAAGGCCAAGAAGCAACAGAGAGGAAGAAATTTTAAATTTATAGTGAAGATAATGTTTTTTTTCAGTGGACATATTAAAATCAAAATTATTAGCTCAGCAAAGCTTAAGGATGAGAAAAATAGTCATAAACCATGTAAAGAATATTTAGCTGTTAACAATATCATAATACAAAAAAATCCAATTTGAACAAAGTATGAAAAAGTTAAAAAAATAGACATCACAAATAATCAAAAAAGGGGAAATACCAAACTAAGATAATGTAAAGGTTCTGACAATGTACACTAACAGTACTTCATCAATATAAAGACATCTCTCATCTTTTTATTTTCAAAAATAATAGACAGCCTAGAACTTAGCACATTATATATTTTTATTAGCACATTATATATTTTTTAAATGACTAAAAACCTAATTAGACAACCTAAAATAAAAATGTAAGAGATTTGTGACAGTTAGGAATTTAAATATAAGACTGCTTTCAAAGTTATATCAGCATTGTCCCCATAGCACAGGATTTTACCTTTGATTTTCCCAGATTTTGTACAAGTCTGAAATGACTAAGGAATTTTATGAACGTTAAATTAGAACATTCTGATTATAAGATTATTAATTAAAAATTATCTTTTCACTATCCTTCATGTCTTATGCTTTCCAGGTTTTAAGTAGGTAGCTACATTTTTACTTGCATTTTCCCCCAGCATGCATTTTTGCCATAAGAAATATTTGAAACACTCTCTACTTGAGACTATATTATCTAAAGTTTCCTAAATTTTCTTTTCAGGGTGAAGGGTAGGCTGTCATTTGATAATTCCATTTTCTATTTTTTGCTGCTTTGAGGTAAGTCATTGTATTCAATCCTACAGAAAACTTCTCGCACATCTCCAAAAAGGGATTTTTAAAGTATCAAGTTCTAAGGTAAAAGAAGTTAAAATAACAAAGAGTTAGAAAACTGCCTACAACTTAAACACTTTTTAAGTGTTTAAATAAACTTTTTAGCATGTAATGCCTTTACAAAAATGGGGGAAAATGGGAACAGTCAGCAACAGTAAATGAGACATTATGTAAAACATACAAAATAATATACCTCTCTCTTATTTCTTCTTGCAACCTTGAGGAATTCCATAAGGATCTGTAGTTGGGCTGCATGTGATTCCTATAATAGAAAATTATAATTGTTCTTTTAAAAATATAACTACGAGTTCAAAGTTTTCTTTAACACCACAGTATAACCAGTATGAAGCAAATTAATGCATCCATTTAGCCTATTACTACTATTTAATCAGTTTTCCTATTTACTAACTGGCATTTTTAAAATCAAGCTATTTTCAGGGTGCCTGGGTGGTTCAGTTGGTTAAGACTCTGTGTTTTGCTCAGGTCATGATCCCGGGGTCCTGGGATGGATCCCGACATCAGACTCTCTGCTCAGTGGGGAGTCTGCTTCTCCTTCTGCCCCTCCCCCATGTGCACTCTCCCTCCCTCTTTCTCTCTGAAATAAACAAAATCTTTAAGGAACAAAAAAAAACTAGCCATTTTCCCCAAAACTAAAAGTAATTTTAAGAAATACAGCCATATGGGGTTTCCATGTCATGCTTTCCTTTCTCTTTCCTTCCTTTAAAATATTCTATCACTATTTTTGGCCATCTTATTTACTTTCTGTCTTAGTGCAGACCTCTTCGGGTTGGTTTTGTTGGGGGCTCTCTGTGCCTCCTGAATCTGGATTTCTCTTTCCTTCCCCAGATTCAGTAAGTTTTTAGCTATTATTTCTTCAATAAATCTTCTGCCCCCTTTTCTCATTCTTCTCCTTCTGGGATACCTATCAAGTGACTGTTATGCTTGACAGTCTCTCTGACTTCCCTGGGTCTATTCTCATTTTGTGTATTTTTCCCCCCTCATCTGCTCAGCTTGATTACTTTCCATTATACTGTCCTCCAGGTGGCTAATCCGTTCTTCTACTTCCTACTGGTTGCTATTTATTCCAGGTGGTCTATTTTTATTTCCATTTCATGAGTCCAATAGCTCTAACTCGTTCTTTTTTGCGTCTCCCATCTCTTGGTGGAGGATCTCATGGAGGTTCTGCACTCCTTTCTCAATTCTAGCGAGTATCTTTATGCACATTACTTTAACTTTTCTCTCAGACATATTACTCGTCTCCATTTTGTTTAGGCCTCTTGCTCTGATTTTGTTCTGCTCTTTCATTTAGGACATATTCCTCTCTTTCCTCACTTTGTCCATTGTTGTGTCTATGTGTTAGGAAAGTCAGCTACGCCTCCCGCACTTAAAAGTAGTGGCTTTATGAAGAAGAGGTCCTGCAGTGCAATGTCTCTTTTTCACCAGAAAATAGTGCTTCGGGATGTCTTCTATGTGTGTTGCTACAGGGGTGCCCTTTCATTGCGGTTGGGCTGTATTTGCCTTCACTCCAGCCTGCAATGGCTCTCTGCCTGTTGTGGGCAGAGTCTGGTGTGCCTGTGGTGTTAGTGGGCTGGTCCAGGATGGCCTTGGGCTTGAGCTGAGTCAGCGCAGGTATCTGCCAGAGATGAAGAGGCACCAAACTGCAGGCACTTTCCCTCTGTTGTCCCCTGAGAAGCTTTTGTTGGTGGGCAGGGCCTGCAGTCAGACCAGCTGCCTGCCCTCAGCCCACTGCTGGGGTCACAGTCAGACTGGTGTACAGTTATCTTCCCCTCTCCCTGGAGCAGGACTTACTTTGGAGTGACACTGACCCTTGTCTGGGCTGTGCCAACACTGCCAGGCTTGTGGCCCTGCTTTGATGGGATCCTGCCAAGAGTAATCAGAGAGTGGATCTGCTTCGTTGTGGCCTCTTATCTATATAGGGCTGCGGAGTGCGTTCTGCCAGTTTTCGGGTTGCTTTCTGGGTTATTTATGCTCAATGTAGGTGTTCTCTAGGTGGCCACACGCGAACAGGTGAACCCAGGATCCTCCTACTGTGCCATCTTTCCAGCAGCCCAACAAAATTGTATTTTCAATAAACCCCTATCAGTATATAGAAATAAACTATAGGAAAAAATATAGCACAAAGGCCGGGAGACGGGAAATGAAGTATGTTACTGTAAGATTCCTGTAAATATAAATAGATGAAGGGTATGACTTGAAGGCACAATGCAACAACAATTGTATTAAAGACCCAAAAGTGGGTCCGTGGGTGGCTCAGTCAGTTGATCATCAGCCTTCAGGTCAGGTTGTAATCTCATGGTCCTGGAAGAGAGTTCCACATCAGGCTCCCTGCTCAGCAGGAAATCTGCTTCTCTCTCTGCTCTTCCACCCGCCCCCTCATATTCTCTCTTTCTCAAATAAATAAAATCTAAAAACAAAACAAAAAATGAAAAACAAAAGCAACCACTAAAAAACAAAACAGAAACTTACCATGATAAACCCACAAAGCAAATAAAATGAATTCAAGAAAAAAATCCAATCTAAAATCATATAAATCATGTTGTCTGACCACAACACAATTCAACTAAAATTCAATTACCAAAATATCTATTTGGAAAAGTAGCAACATCCAACACACACACACACACACACACACACACACACACATCAGACTACTATCAGACTGGCAATAACTAAAAATGAGAAAATACCAGGTGCTCATATAGTACAAAAGAGCAACCTGGCAATATCTGATATGTTAAAATGTGCATGTGAATTCTATAAACAGTAATTTCATTCCTTAAAACACTAAGTGTATATACATGAGCACAAGGAAACATGTATAACAATATTAAATGTAATAATGACACTCACAGCTAAGAATTAGGAAGAACGTAAATATCTACCATAGGGGAACATATATGTTCATGCAATGGGTTACCATTAATAAGTTAATATGAACTAGATCTATATTTACCAACATAAACCTCAAAAAGTAAACAAAGAGGCATATGTCAAAAGGATAACTATAATATGAAACTTTGTATATAAACTTCTTTTAATTTTCTTTATTATTTATTTATTTTTGAGAGAGAGAGAAAGAGAGAACATGAGCACACACAGGAGCATGCCAGTGGCAAAGGGAGAGGGAGAGAATCCCAAGTAGGGTCCATGCCCAGCTCAGAGTCCAATTTACTTTACAAAGATTTATTTCTTTTTTTTTTTTTTTAAGATTTTATTTATTTATTTGACAGACAGAGATCACAAGTAGACGGAGAGGCAGATAGAGAGAGAGAGAGGAGGAAGCAGGCTCCCCGCCAAGCAGAGAGCCCGATGCGGGACTCGATCCCAGGACCCTGAGATCATGACCTGAGCCGAAGGCAGCGGCTTAACCCACTGAGCCACCCAGGCGCCCCAAAGATTTATTTCTTTATGAGAGAGAGCACACGTGTGAGCATGGTGAAGGGGGGCTGAGGAAGAGAATTGTGGTAATCACTGCATAATACATGTATGTCAAGTCATTATGCTGTATAGCTTAAGCTTATACAGTGCTATATGTCAATTATACCTAAGTAAAACTAAAATAAATTAATTAATTAAAGATAAAGGCCCGTTTCCCAAAAAATATGGGAGAAATTTCCACCAGCCCTGCCCACCCTCCCAGCTAGAATGGGAGAATCATTTTGGTAAGCACAACCTAAGCTAGTTCCTTCTTCTACTAAGATTCCTATTCAATCAAGTGGAACCCAGATCTAAATTATATTAGTAATCCACCCACAGAATTTTGAAATTGTAAAGGAAAGTCCCTTTTCTTCTATCAAAAAATAAATAAATATAGATGAAGAAAGTGCAAATGATCACATTATATTATAAATACCTAAGAAAAGAAAATCAGACCTGTCCCAAAGAAACAGACATGAGAAGCACCAAAGAATGATCCAACATTCAAGTGCCTGATCTTATTTCCTTATAGTCTCCAGAAAAGCTGGCTATGGTTCCAATCTTCCCAATATCTGGTTGTTAAACACTTCCTTTTCACATATGTCAGCTACTCGCTCCCTTACCCTGTCAGTAGATTTCCCGCTTTTGTTTCAGCTAGGTCAGGGGGATACCTACTTATGCTGAGGTATAAATTGCTCCAATGGCTCATATTCAATTCCTAATACATGCAAATTCACATTTTATATTATTTATAAACATTTTACATTGTTTATACTTTATATCATTTATATTTATTTACATGAAATAAACACAATTTTACATTTATTATTTTATTACATGAAACAGGATATATTTATTTACAGTTCCCATCTTTCTAAACGACTTTATTTAAGCCATACACTACAGCTGCCACCAACAAACACCTGCTAAAAGGATTTTATGTAGGTAAAAATAATCTCTATTTTATCTTCCAAATCTCTTATGTGAATAAGGGAAGATCTAGCAAGGAATATATTCATTAGAAAACAAATGACCAATTTAACTGTTCCCTATTAAAATGAAACTGTAGGGGCACCGGGGTGGCTCAGTGGGTTAAAGCCTCTGCCTTTGGCTCGGGTCATGATCCCAGGGTCCTGGGATCCAGCCCCACATCAGGCTCTCTGCTCCGTGGGGAGCCTGCTTCCTCCTCTCTCTCTCTGCCTGCCTCTCTGCCTACTTGTGATCGCTCTCTGTCAAATAAATAAATAAAACCTAAAAAAAAAAATGTGTTTTAATAAAATAAAATGAAATTGTATTTTGTCATGATCTTTCTTATCACTCAGTTGTTCTGAATATAAATGAGCCGCCACAACTTGTAAGAAATCTGTCTTTTACTTGAAAGGGGGGACTGTTAGAAGTGATACTTTGTGCATGCTCTTTCTTACTGAATAAGATTAGATGGACTGAGTGACAGATACTATCCTACTATTTTTAAACATTTCTAGATCTTTTTCAATGCAATAAAGACCACCACTTAAAATTTTTTAAAGTTCAACTGCCAACCGAGGGTTTTAGAGGGGAGGGGGGTTTGGGGGAGGGGGTGAGTCTGGTGGTGGGTATTAAGGAGGGCATATATTGCATGGAGCACTGGATGTTATACATAACAATGAATCTTGGAATACTGCATCACGAACTAATGATGTATTTTATGGTGAATAATATAACACAATAAAAAATAAATAAATAAATAAATAAATAAAATAAGATTTAACTGCCACTTACTGCTTCCAGTTGTTTCTTCTTCTGCACTAGTAATTCCAACATGAGGTTGACATTGGCCAAATCAAGGTTATCTTGATCAGTTCCCAACAAATCCTGAAATATTTGCCACCTGTGGCCATTCTGAAAACGAAGAAACACAGTAACTTCCTAAGAAGACTGTTTTAGAGACCCTAAAATGTTTAACTGCTACTTCCTAAATATGTTTATTACATAGATATCAAAAATATACTATAATATTCTGACCTACTCCTTCCTAGCCAATAGTTCCCCATTGCCTTCTAATTATAATTAAACACTATTCTCTCTTAAATCAATCTGGGTAACAGATACAGAGGGATATTCAAAACAAATGTTAAGTGAGCATGTCTAAAGGTGTAACTCCCTTCAAAATAAGTGCTTGGATTTTAATTATTTGTCTAGCCATATTTTCAACTTTGTACTTGGTAAGGTACTAATTTAGGCTCACTTCCCTCAACAATTTAAGACTGATTCTCTTAAATTGAGAATCTTCCAAAAGTTTTTCCAAATTACCAACCGTAGTTCCACCCTGCCATATAATCTTCCAAATGTCATGTACTACAAGACATCTCTGACTCAATGTGATTCTAGAAGACCTTTCAAAAGATGATCATTAAATTTTATACGATGCAGGTAACAAAAGTTCTTTATTATACAAAATAATCTTAAACAAATTTTCTTCTTAAAGAAAATCAATGACATACTAAGCTCTAATACTAATTAATATTAAACCAATAAAAACAACAAATTGAAATTTATTAAAAAGTAGTAATAAGAGTTGAAACATACGGTGCTACTCACTGAGTGGTCCAATTTGAACCTCTTTTCCTCAAATCTTTGCTTCTGTTTGAGAATGAGCTCATTCACTGAAAAGAGAAACAAAACAAAAAGCATATATAATTTGTATTGTTGTTAAATGTATCATCTAATTGTTCTGTTTAAATGGGTTCTATTTTCACTTTTAAAAGCCCCCAAATTAGAAAAATGCTAAGCAGAAAATGCTAGGCTTTCACTTTATTTCAAATTAGAAAACAATTTTCCACAGATTCTAATGCTACAACTGCTGTTATTACTACCACTATTATTAAAGGAGAATTCTCTGGAATATGTACTTTCTCGTACACATCTCAATTATGATACTGTCAGCACCTGGGGGAGACAATTCCTCACTGTGTTGGTCTGCTGCGTCCTCCACATGGTACCTGGTTGATTCTCTAAGGTAGTCACTAGAGATTCTTATTTGTTCTTCTTTTTGTTACTTTCCTACAAATACCATGGCAGATAATGTCAGTTACCTATCCAAAATCATCCCACCCACCCCCTTTAAAAAAAAAAAAAAAAAAAAAAACATAATTTTTTTTCTAAGCCACATGCTTTCAGAAAAGCTAGGTTTCACCGCAGCCCAACATTATGATTCTTGACTAACTTAAGCCAATCTTGGCATTCATACCCTTGCAATAACTGACATGGGATTAAGTACGTGACCCAGTTTTAATCAATGAAGGGTATGCTGTCTTTCAGAAAGAAATGGATAGGAAGAAAAGAAGTCCTTTCCCTCCCTTCTTTAAGAAATGATGCTGGAGGGACGCCTGGGTGGCTCAGTTGGTTAAGCAGCTGCCTTCGGCTCAGGTCATGATCCCAGCGTCCTGGGATCGAGTCCCACATCGGGCTCCTTGCTTGGCAGGGAGCCTGCTTCTCCCTCTGCCTCTGCCTGCCACTCTGTCTGCCTGTGCTCGCTCTCGCTTCTCTCTCTATGACAAATAAAGAAATAAAATCTTAAAAAAAAAAAAAAAAAGAAATGATGCTGGAACTACTCAGAGCCATCCTACAATCTTAGAGTAGCTAGTCAAAGCACCAATACATGTTAGGATGGAGGAACAAAAAGATGTGAAGAACTTAATCATATCCCTGAACCACTGAATTTCCAATTCTACGAATCCTTTTTTTCTATCTTTAAGGATGAACTGATAACATCAAACAAACAATAACAACAAAAAAAAAGTCTGATAAAGAGTAAGAAACTAGGGGCTCCTGGGTGGCTCAGTTGGTTAAACGTCTGCCTTCAGCTCAGGTCATGAATGCTGGATCCTGGGATGAAGCCCTGCATTAGGCTCCCTGCTCAGCAGAGGGTCTGCTTCTCCCCCTCCCACTGCTACTCCCCTTGCTTATACTATCAAATAAATAAATAAAATACTAAAAAAAAAAAAAAGAAAAAGAAAAGAAAGAAAAAGAAAAAAAGAAACTAGCACTAAATCAGTTTAGCCCTAGGCTAGCACTTTATAGATATGATCCTATGGGTTATTCTCCCCATTTTAGAGATGAGGAAATATTAGAGGGAGCATCAAGAACTTACTCATGGTGACACAGAGTACAAAACCGAGTTGGGATACAAATCCAACTATCTAATATTTTCCACTATACCACAATCCAACTATAAATATTTCCAAACAAACCAGAGAAGTATCAAGCCCATACTAAGTAAGAATCCAAGCTTCAAAGATAAGTAAGACTCAATCTAAGTAAGATGCAATCTAAGACTTGAGCAACTCTGAGCAGGAAGACAAATATATATGACACAGTATGTATAACATAATGTGATAGTACTGTCACTGAAGCAGACTTACAAAGAACACAGGACAAGGAACAATCATGTGTAAATAGGCAGGCTACACACAGAAGGTGACATTAGAATTGGGCCATAACATCCATACAGAGATTCATTAAGCAGAAAAAGAAGTGGAAAAGAATTAAGAGAAGGGTGTGAGAAAGAAGGGGTTAAAGTCTTACAAGACCAGGAGATAAGACTGACTTTAAATCAATATGGCTGAAACACGAGGTCAAAGTGATTTTGTTAATGATTAACAGGTTATGAACTAAGGCTGGAATTGAAGATAGATGGGAACCTGATTCTGAAGAGCCTGGTATGTATCTCATAAGCAAAATTACCATTCTAACCCAGGAAAATCTGCTTGGCAGAGAGCCTGCTTCTCTCTCTCCCTGAAAGAGAAAGGAGAGCTCAAACTAATGTAGTGGGAACAAAGAGAAGCTCATAAATAAGAGTTCAATATTTCAGTTACAGAATTAAACATCTGAATAAAAATTGGGACTTCAACTTTAATACTTTACATGTGTATACCAAATTGCATTTTCCTGAGAAATCTCACATATCACTGAATTTGAAGGATATTCTATATCCATAATTGTAAGTGTCTAGACCCTTGAAATGGCCACAGTACTAAGAAGAAACAATGCATTTCTACTGCTAAAGCTTTCATTCTAGTAACTATATTTTTAGAAGCAGAAGAGTAGTTAACGCATATATGCTTGTGGAACAGATGGCTTAGGACCAAATCCCAATTCCACCAATACTATTGTAAAAGTTTATAAAAGTAACCGAACTTCTCTGTACCTTAGTTTCCTCACCCAAAGGAGGATGTTGATGACAAGAGTACTTATCTCATAGGACTGAAAATTAAACGAGTTAGCTTACACAAAGCACTTGGGACACTACCTGGCAGTAGTAAGGATGTTCTATACTTTTTTTTTTTAACAGTTATTTTAAACTTAGCATTCACGTTGTCCCTTCAAAGAATGTTATTCAGAAGGGTGATAAAATTCAATTTATAAATTTTACACATAGACAGAGAAAGCTAGAAAAGAGACTGAGCAAGGGAGAGAGATGGGGGCAGGTAGCTGGAGAGAGGGATAGGGAGAGCTAGAGAGCAAGTCTTGGCAGGAGCAGAGGAGAGCAACTGCAGGAATTGGGGGGAGGTGGGCGGGTGCAGGATAGATGGGAACAGGGACAGGAACACTTCACCTTGCAAGAACCTTCTAGTAACAAGAACAAGCAGGATGGAAAGAATAGTGAATGTGTTGGAAGAGCGAGGGTATAAAGGGTAATGAAATAGAATATAGTGGAAGGTAGAAGAGCTGGAGGAAGGAAAGTCAGAAGAAAAAGGGTCTGTGGTATAGTGTTTAGGGCAGGAAAGGAAAAATCAAAGTACTCATCTTAACAAAAAAAGTAAATGATTATAAATGACCAAAAAATCAAATCTCTGAGTGTTTGGCTTCTAATTCTTTGCTTTCATTAAAATTAAAGAAAGGACTTGACTTGTTAACTAACTGAGCATTAAGACTGTTTTTGATGATAAATCAATAAATGCTTTTTTTCAGATGCCTGGGTGGCTCAGTCAGTTGAGCAGCTGCCTTCGGCTCAGGTCATGATCTTAGGGTCCTGTGATCAAGTCCCACATCGGGCCCCTTGCTTGGCAGAGAGCCTGCTTCTCTCTCTCCCTCTGCCTGCCACTTTGCCTGCTTGTGCTCTCTCTCTCTCTCTCAAATGAATAAATAAAATCTGATTAGTTAATTTAAAAATGCTTTTAATCTTAATTTCTTACGTGAGAACGAAGTCAAAAAACTGAGCGACATTAATGTTAACAAAATTCCTTCAAGCCCCATCACCTTATTCATGTAAGCAAAGCCTCTTAAAACTTATACTTTAAAAAGAAAAATCTTAAAATTACATAATTTATAGATCAATTATATCTCAATTTTTAAAAAACTATGATGATCCTAAATAAATGAACAAACGAATAAAATAAAAAGAATACAAATGGAACTCATTCCTTGTCCTAGTAATAACTACTAAGGATACCAGAACTGAGAAAAGCACCAAACGTTAATAAGCAGCATGTTTTCAATAAATATTTATGCCTAATACTTTATAAAATTCGTGAATATATGTTTGACCAATTACATACTACTAATAATTCAATAATAATCCAGAAAAAATATTTGAGATTTTTAAATTATGTTCAAAAAAAATTTTTATGTCTAGTTTCTATTTATATACATTTCTGTTACAGAAAAGCACTACAGATCGATCGACAGATTTCAAACATGAAAATACATCATATAAGGATAAAATTATGTGGATGATAATCAATTTAAGTAGAAGTTCAAAGAGAAAAGGAATAAATAAAATTTTCCATTGTTAATGAAAGGTGTCTATTTTCAAATTAATGATAAATATCAAACCACTATGATATTTCACTGGATACATTTTCAAAAAAGATAAAAGCTTTATTTTTAAATAATTAATTTATAACACTCCTAAAGTTACATCCTTTACTACCACTTAAAGTTATAAAGAAAACTTGAGGATGATAATTTTAAATGGGGTTCAATACGTGAGGAAGAACATTTTCAGAATTTTTATGAGTCACCCAAGCAAAAAAGTTTTGAAGACCACTGTTAAAGAAAATGTATAGCTCAGCTCTTTATCCATGACTTAGGTAAACGTACAGTATTAAAAGGGAAGGGTCCTGGGATGCCTGGGTGGCTCAGTTGGTTAAACATCTGACTTTAAGCTCAGGTCATGATCCCAGGGTCCTGGGATCAAGTCCTGCTTCAGACTCCCTCTGCCTGCCATTCTGCCCACTTGTGCTCTCTCCCTCTCTCTCTCTGACAAATAAATGAAATATTTAAATAAATAAATAAATGGGAAGGGTCCTAACCTATCGACAAAAAAAAGTGCAAGGCTACTTAGTAGCCTTCAAAATTGTAAAACATACACTTATTTTACCAAGCTCAAGAAGAAATCTGAAATTACTTCAAAAGGTTCAAGGTCCTCAACCCAACCAAGAATGACAGATGCTATACAAATAAATCACGGAAACTCAAGCTAAAGCAATGGAAATAAATAACTCAGAAGGGTTTTTTCAGTAAAGGAAAAAACAAGATGGAATTCCACATTCAGAAATAGATCTCAAAGGGCATCTGGGTGGCTCAGTCATTAAGCATCAATGCCTTCAGCTCAGGTCATGATTCCAGGGTCCCAGGATCAAGGCCCCCATTGAGCGCCCTGCTCTGCAGGAAGCCTGCTTCTCCTTCTCCCACTCCCCCTGCTTGTGTTCCCTCTCTCACTATCTCTCTCTCTCTGTCAAAAAATTAATAAAAATCTTTAAAAAGTGTTAAAAAATAAATAAAAGAAATAGATCTCAATGGCACCCTGAATGCACAGGATCCCTGTCTACCTAATGTGGGAAGCTATGAATTTGAATATTATTTTTTTTAAAGATTTTATTTACTTTACAGAGAGAGACACAATGAGAGAGGGAACACAAGCAGGCGGAGAGGGAGAGAGAGAAGCAGTCTCCCCGCTGAGCAGGGAGCCCAAAGTGGGGCTCAACGCCGGGACTCGGGATCATGACCTGAGCCAAAGGCAGACACTTAACTGAGCCATCCAGGCATCCTGAATTTGAATATTATTGTACAAGTAAAGAGGGGAAGGATGATGGGAAGAAAAACAGAAAAAGATGTATCAGGATAAAATGTTATTTCCAAGGCTGACATTCATAATCACATTACAAGCTGCCCTATAATTAAAAGACTTCAAATATGGACATAAAATACTTACACTCCAATTACCCAAAACAAAAATTTAGTATCCATAAAAAGAAAAGGTTAAAAACTAGATCATCACCCAGATAATTTCCAGCTCAGAAAATCAGTTAAGTGTGACTTCACTATTCACCAGATATATGTGAGAATATATACTTAATGTATGAAATCACTTTCTGACTAAAATAGTACTATGCTTTGAAAGTCCTTCCCTACTGGTATATAGTGCTCCCTCTAGTTAGAAATCCACATAAAAGGGGCACCTGGGTGGCTCAGTGGGTTAAAGCCACTGCCTTCGGCTCGGGTCATGATCCCAGGGTCCTGGGATCGAGCCTCGCATCAGGCTCTCTGCTCAGCAGGGAGCCTGCTTCCTCCTCTCTCTCTGCCTGCCTCTCTGCCTACTTGTGATCTCTGTCAAATAAATAAATAAAATCTTAAAAAAAAAAAAAAGAAAAGAAAAGAAATCCACATAAAAGAATCTCCAGCTTTTGGACTCATTAAAAAATGTTGCCTGAAAGTTTTAGTAAACACCAAAATTGTCAGAAGATCAGATTCCTTTCTGTATTTAACCATTCCAAAAGAAGTTTTCTGAAGTTATGACAACTGATAGAAAAGATTCTAGAGCCCACACAGCAGCAACAATCCGTGTTTCTGAGCTCAGGGACACAAGGTTTTGCTTCACAGGACTTTGATTTCCCTTCCTACCCAATCTAGCCCATTAAGTCCAGTCCTGCAGAGAGTATCACACCACTCAATGTTTCTTCTTTTCCTAAGTTCCTTCTCCAAGTTTTTACTTTTCAATTGCCTCCCCAGGTCACAGGCTCTCGTCCCCTATCCAGAAATCCAATTACCCAAGTTTCTCCCCACCTCTTCCCTCTCTCCATTAACACTTTCTTCCCCTGACCCTCACTTCTACCCCAGAAGCACAACCAGCAGGAAGGTACCACATTGTATAAAGACACAGGTATTCTGGACCTCTGGCATTCCCTTTCACCTCACGTTCTATCCCACCATCTATATAAGAAACTAAGGGTTGTGTAAACTTAACAACAATGTCATATAGTACTAACAACACATGGTATGGAAAATACATCACAAAATAATGAAGACTGGGGAAAACACCCAGGTGGATAAAAGAGAAAGACTTGCTTTACCCCTATACTATGTTTTCTGAATAAATTTCTGCCAGCATACACTCTTGGGGACAGAATATTTTAAATAATAAAGAATCGTTCCAAAGACTCACCCAAGAAATTAGGATACAGATGGTCAATATTATCCACAACATAGTTACACTTGGGACATCTATTATTATCCTCCAAACTCTGATGAATACACTTGTAGCTATTAGCAGGAAAAAAATAAAATAGGGTTCATTAAATCAGTAAAGGATTAATAAACTGGTCATAAAATAATGCCTATAAAGTCTTCTATTTCTCATTTAAAACAAGTAATTTGTTATCAAATTTATTTCAGCTTATATTTTATTATAATAAAATACAGAGCATTTATTAGGTAACAGTATACAAAAATTAATGTTTAAAAATGAACTTGAGTAACAAGTCTACTGGATATAGAATGTTAAAAAAAAGTATTAACTTTTAAGTTTATGCAATTTAAATACTACATAACAACACCCAAGAAAAGCAAATGCCTATGATTTAGTTAAGCAAATGGACTATTCATGTGCTTAGAGTGCTGATATCCTTAATACAAAAAGAGCACACTCAAATAAAAAAAGAGAAAAACAGAAAGATCAACAAGACAAGCATTAGTCAATAAGAATGAGAAAATCACCACCTTCAGTAAGATAAAAAAAATTGATTTTAAATCATATACTATTTTTTACTAAACAGAATGGAAAATTAAAGAAAATACTATCAGAGTTAAGGAGCACATGCGAACCTCACGTACTATTGAAGGAAATGCAACTGCCACAACATTTCCAGAAGGCAAGCTGTATGGAAAACCTTAAGGTTGTGTATCCCCTTTGATGTAATGATTTTATTTCTAGGAATTTACCCTAAGGAAATGAGCAGAGGTATATACATAGAAAGGTGCTCAATTCAAGACCATCTGTAAATAGCAAAATAAATTAGAAGCAACCAATACACTACAAAATTGACTAAATAATTTGGTAAACATCAATCCAAAAAATACCCCCAAAAAATCACACTACAATACGTAACTATATGCCATGAAAAATAATAATTCTTAGTGGTTATATAGCTAAAGAAAGAGGATTACAAGAAATGTTTCCTTCCTCACAATATATATTTCTGTAATATTTGATGTTTTGCAATTACTCATCGTCTTTTAATAAAAAATCTTTTAAATATTGTTTCACTAGAGGGGCCTGGGTGGCTCAGTCGGTTGGGCGTCTGCCTTCGGCTCAGGTCATGATCTCCACAACCTGGAATGGGAGCCCAACGCATGGACTCCATTGTCCCTCTGCCCCTCCCCCACCCACCACTACCACCATCATCCTTCCCCCTCCACCCCCACTCATGCTCTGTCTCTCCCCCAAATAATAAAAAAAAAACTATATATATATATATATATATATAAATTAAAAAAACTATATATATATATATTCATCATAATGTTTACAGTGTATGTCCCTGGGCCATAAAATTACAGGAAACTTTTTCTTTTTAGATGTCTACAAGTTTTGGGTGCCTGGGTGGCTCAGTTGGTTAAGCAACTGCCTTCGGCTCAGGTCATGAATCTGAAGTCCCAGAATCAAGTCCCACATCTGGCTTCCTACTCAGCAGGCGGTCAGATTCTCCCTCTGACCTCTCCCCTCTCACACTCTCTCTCTCTCACTCTCTCTCTCAAACAAGTAAATAAATTAAAAATCTCTTTAAAAAAAAAAAAAAAAGATGCCCACAAGTTTTTATAGCAAAAAGGCACTGCTCCTAACAACCAGAAAAAAAATTATTTCCAAGAAATCACAAGGGTGCTTTATAAAAAAGATTCCTAAAGAGATAGCACCGCTTTTATTCTGTATCCAAATTACTATAAATTTACTTCAGCTTTCTAAGTTGAAGCTAATTTTTATAACCCACTTACTTCACTCTATCTTACCAAAACAGAAACCTACAACCACCAGGTTTCTCTGATTTCTCTCATTAACAACTACTTTCCCTTCTCACATTTGGTACTTTCAAGGTAAGTTAAAATAAAAACGACATCACAGAGAACTGCAGTGATGGTCTTTGGCACAGCACAAGGACCATCAGAGTCAACGGCTGCCACAAAACAGGTCCTCAAATACATCCACAAACAAATGACCGGCCGCCTGGGGCTCAGTGGGTTCAGCCTCTGCCTTCGGCTCAGGTCATAATACCAGGGTCCGGGGATCGAGCCCCACATCGGGCTCTATGCTCAGCGGGGAGCCTGCTTCCCCCTCTCTCTCTGCCTGCCTCTCCGTCTACTTGTGATCTCGGTCAAATAAATAAATAAAATCTTAAAAAAAAAAAAAAAAAGAAAACTTTGTGGTATTTAAAACTAAACAAAACAAATGACTTATACAGTGTTCCAGAAATAATAACATCACCTCTTGCAACTATGACAAGGCTAGGATTGCCATATTATCACATGATAGGTTCCATATCTAACAGAAAATCTCCTACGTAGAAATTTCAGTGAAGGAATAAATATACAAATTGTTTTCGTTTTCACTTTTATTGCAAGGGAAAAGCATAAAGCAGGTATGCAATTAAAACATGGAAACACTTATAATCTGGTAGGGAAAATGGAAATGAGTTCATATTACCAGAAAATATCCCCAACGAACAAGATTTAACCCTTTAAAAAATCTGCAAGTTCAAATAAACCAAGTGATGAAGCAGAAAATCTGGGAAGGTTATTATTAAAGATGAGAGAAGCAGTTGACAGATAAGCAGAAGGGCATTCCGGGTTTTAGCAAATGCCTTTTGTAAAGAAATGATAGTTAGAAATGAGCCAATAATATAAGAAGAACAAGCTAAGTTGTTACCCCAGTGAAAGAGACTGTCACTATACAAGGAATTATCGCAGAGTCCAACAGAATATCCTTCTCTCCTACCTTCAGCAACCTAATCACATCCCTTGTCAGTAGGTTTACTACCACACCATCCTCCTAGAAGAAAAAAATAGTCGAGGATGCAGCAAGAAGGAACTGTCCTCAGGAACAAAAGTTCAAGTGACTTTTCCCCATTGCATTGGTAATACCCATCTATACTACAAAATGAAAATGCATCAACTTACATACCACTGTATAAAACTGACATGACAAGATGCATCAAGTTTATCTTATAGCATCTACTACCTCACTAACACCCCGCGGCAAACCTTTCCTAGTTTGAGAAATAGTAACTATCTTATTTTGTACTTAATCTGTGTATGTGTCTGTAATCCCTTCTTCTATTTGCTCATTCAAAACAAGGATTTGTTTTAATTCATCTCAGTAACCTCAATGTCTAGCACAATATCCTCTTAGAGTTGAACTAAATAAATGTTCAATGCATGAAAAAAAATAGCTATAGACAAAAAAGAAACATGCTGTCCTCTGGGTCACATAAAACACCACTAGAAATTCTCAATTATTCCTTTCACAATAACTCTACTTGACCATCACCATTCCAGATGTGGAATTTTGATTTCCAAAAGAAGGATAAGTGTCTAGACTAGTGATCAAGATGGGGGGATATAGGGATATATATCTTGGGTCTATCTGAGAAGTTTTCAAAAGCTACTCACACTAAAACTCTTTAAAATAGTAATTCAGCACTAGAATGTGCGGACATAAATGGGTGCCTATGTTTATTAAGTGTATATCTGATAATGAAGAATGACTATTTTGAAATTTTGCCCTTTGCAGCAACATGAATGAACCTCAAGGGTATTATACACTAAGTGAAGTCAGAAAAAGACAAATACCATACAATTGCATTTATATGTGGAATCTACAAACAAAAGCAATGAACAATCAAACAAGGAGAAACAGATTCATACATACAAAGAACAAACTGGTGGTTGCCAGAATGGAGGAGGATAGGGACATGGGCAAAATAGGCAAAGGGGATTAAAAGGGATAAACCTCTAATTATAAAATAAATAAGTCACACAGATGAAAAGAACTGCATAGGGAATATAATCAATAATATTATAACACTGTATGGTGACAGCTGGTAACTACACTTATGGTGGTGAGCACTGAGTAATGTACAGAATTGTCTAATTTCTATGTTGCACACCTGAAGCTAATATAACAATTATGTCAACTATATTTCAGTAACTTTTTTAAAATGAGTATTTCTCCATAGATGTATGGTTACTCTGTTTCTTCCCCCCCC